GCCAATGGCATCATCATCACCATATTCTTTCAGGCACCATGTTTGGACACTTGAGGTTCTTTTCATTCCTTCTCCCTTCTCCTCCACTCTACTCCACTGACTCCCTGGGCCAGTGACTGGCCAAGACCATAGTTTTACCTTTTGCACCTATCTCCTTTCCAATCCCACCAGATCTCTTAGTTCTGCCCATATTTACTCTTTCCCCAAGATCACAGTGGGCTCCTAGCTGTACCCTTGCCTTCAGGCTCCACTTCATTCTTCATGTAGCTGTAACACTCATTTTTGCCTAACAGCCAACTCTAACTATGTTCTTGTCCAAAGATGTCTATGGCTCCTTGGTATCTTTCACGTAAACACACCAACCATCCTACCTTAACGATGTATTCCAAGCCCTGTGTTCCAATTAAGTGAAATACTACTCACATGTTCTCTTGCATGCCTCATATTTATTCTCATACTATGCCTTTGCCGACATTCCTTCTACGCTTCTTTTCTCTCCTGACATTGCATATTTACATCCTGTATATATTTCCAGAGAATCTCAGATATCATCTCCTCTATGATCCTTGCTCGATGTCCTTACACAGATACAACCGACTTCTTCTTCCTCTGCACTTCCTAAAAAACTTCAGTTCTCCTCTTCAGCCATTTACAACTGTCCACCTAGTACTATATTTATGCACATACAAGTTTTATCCCCTCTGCCAGATTGTAAAGCTCATTTAGTTCTGTGTTCATTCAGCAATTACTTTTTGAATACCTAGTAAGTGCACAACCACTGTGCTAGATTGTGGAGGTACAGAAATGAACAAGAACAAGACATGGTTCCTCCCCTCCAGGTACTCATGGTATAATTAAGGAAACAGTAAAGAAAATAAATGACTAATACTTGGTTTACAAACTGTATGACAGAGGTGTGTACAAAATGTTTGGGGGAGCACAAAGGAAGCGCACCAAACTCAGTCTTCAAGAAGAGGGGGAAGAGCAGAGAACTTCCATGAGCAGGTGATACTTGAACCAAGTCTTTAAATACAGAGTCCACCATAGATGAGGGGGGAAAGGAAATCCAGGTAGAAGAAAGGAGATATTTAAAGGCTACCAGTCACAGGCCAAGGCACACAACTGATTCATACTTATTTCCCATACCGCAATAGTTCCAACACCCGTATTAAACTAGGACCATTCAATTACCAAGTATTCACAACTTTGATTTGTAATGAGAAAAACAAGGGCAATGTAGTGAGTTGTCAAAAGGTTACATTTACCCAATTTTTAAATTTAAAAGTTATGACCATTCTGACTTTTTTTGTTGTTAAATGTTCTTTCTTTAAAGAATTGGTGGTAGTTGGGTGCAGTGGCTCATGCCTGTAATCCTAGCACTCTGGAAGACCAAGGCAGGAGGATTGCTTGAGGATAGGACTTCAAGACCAGCCTGAGCAAGAGGAAGACCCCCCCCCACCTCTACCAAAAATAGAAAAAATTAGCTGGGTGTGGTGGCGCACACCTGTAGTCCCAGCTACTCGGGATGCTGAGGCAGGAGGATCCCTTGATCCCAGGAGTCTGAGGTTACTGTGAGCTATGATGACGTCACTGCACTCTAGTTGGGGCAGAAGAGTGAGACTCTGTCTCAAAAAAATAAAGAAAGAAATGGTGGTGATAATACAATCATGTTTTAATTTAATGCTTTTATTTAGAAAACTAAAAAGAACTGGTTATTTTAAATTACTGACTCCAATTAAATTTTTTTTTCCTGGACCAATATTCAAGAATTGAGCAACCACTGCTTGAGAGCAGTGGTTCTCATAAGTACTAGTGGATTAAAATTCCCTAGAGAGCTTTAAAAATATATACAACTTTCCTTGGGTCACCCTAGCCATAGAGATTTAGAATTTCTGAGGTTGGGTCTTAGGAATTTGTCTTTTAAAAATAAACTTAGTTGATTTTGAAAAGCATCCTGATTTGGGAGCATCTATCCTAGTCCAGGTCACTTCACCCTGAATAGGTGTTGGATAAATAAACGTCAAATGAATGAGAGGGTGCTGCTCATGTAAGTATACGTGTGGGAACAAAACATTGCTTTTTTCCTAACAAGGAAATGCACATATCTTAAGTGTACATGGAAGAGAATTATTTTAGGAGAAAGTCTGATTCTTAAGAAGGTAGAAAAAACCAGGAGGTTATTTTGGGAACTTTTGTGCACAAAAGATAAAATAAAAACATAGTACTCTTAAACCTTGGTCACTGACATGAGTGTATTTGGGATGAAAAATTATCGTTTGAGAATCGCAAGACTAGGTATGCTCCTGTCGGTGTTATTTATTTATTTATTTAGAGAGAGAGTCTTGCTCTGTCACCCAGGCTGAACTACAGCAGCATGATAATAGCCCACTGTAACCTCAAACTCCTGGGCTCAAGCGATCCTCCCACCTCAGCCTCCCAAGTAGCTAGGACTATAGGTGCACACCACCACATCTGGCTAATTTTTAAATTTTTCATAGATGAGGGGTCTCGATATATTGTCCAGTGTGGTCTTGAACTTCGGGGCTCAAGTAATCCTCCTACCTTAGCCTCTCAAAGTGCTGGGGTTACAGGTATGAGCCACTGAGCCCAGTCTGCCGGTGATATTTAATAAAAAGAGAGTAACATTTTAAAGTCTAAAATACTGATAAATGGGGCAAGTAACTCTTGGTAATGATCCTTGGATGACCTGAAAATGCAAATAAAGTTTTTTCAGGACCTAATTCTAGATTGAAGACCTCTTAAATAATTTCCCTGTATTTCCTTGTCCCATCCCATGACACTAGAGCTCAGTCTTGAATGTACAGTTCCTAAAGCATGAATATTCACACCACTGCTCTCAGCTAAAATATTTCATTTGTTTTTCTCTGAGCATTTAGATTCTTAGAAATTTACAGATCCCTGAGTTCAAGCCTCTGGTTTTGTAGGTGAGCAAATAGGTCCCAGGGGGGCTACATGACTCACCTAGGGCCCATAACAGAACTGAGATTGTGCAGTTACTTGATACTATTTCCATAGACATTTTCATATCAACTTGTACTTGGTAATATGTTGCTTTACCCTCCTTCTGCCCTTTATATTTAAGTCTCTTCATGTTTTTCACTATTGCACATTCATTTTTCACTCAATCACAGAAATTGGTGGAGACAGGTTTTAATATTCACACTAGACAGAAAAGGAAAGTGATCAAGGAACTTGCTCATCATTACACAACTGTATTAGTCCGCTTGGGCTGCTGTAACAAAATACCATATATTGGGAGTCTTAAATAACAGGAATTTATTTCCCACAGTTTGAAGGCTGGGACATTCAAGATCAAGGTGCTGATTTGGTTCTATGGTGATGGCTTTTTTCCTGATTTGCAGATGGCTACCTTCTTGCTCTGTGTGTGTGTGTGTGTGTGTGTGTGTGTGTGTGTGTGTGTGTATGAGAGAGAGAGGGGCAGAGAGAAAGAGAGAGAGGGGGAGAGAGAGAGAGAGAATGAGAGCAGCAAGCTCTCTGGTGTCTCTCCTGACAAGGGCACTAATCCCATTCATGACCCCTCAACCCATGACCTCATCTAAACTTAATTACTTCCCAAAGGCCCGTTTACAAATACTATCACGTTGGGGGTTAGGCGTTCAGCATATGAATTTGGGGGGAGGGGCAAAATTCAGTCCATAGCAAGAGCTTATTTCATGCCAGTTCCAGAACAAGCACCAGCACCCAAGATAATTGAGTCAGTAACACTGGGCAAACATTTGTTGAGGCTTCCACTGTGAGGGACACTGCAGCATGACTCACTCAAGTCTTGTCAGTGGTGTAAGACAAGCATGGAAACAACTAGGGGAGAGGGAAGCAAGTGTCATATTCAGAAACAGCCTGTTGTCTTTGGGGAATGGGCAGAGCCAGTTTACCCACAGGGAACTGGGCATGTAGGGAGTTGTGCAGAATAAGACTGGGAAATCCAAGGTTTTTCTCACTCTCCCACTCTGTCCACTCCATGAACGCTATCTCTTCCTTTCTATTGTCAGTTTCCTGGGGGTAGGGACCCTGTTCTCTATTTAGTTGAACCTACAGGGACTGGTCCAGATCCCCGCGGTGGTACGTAAATCACAGCCTACTGAAAGGAAACAAAGCCGTCGCGGTGCTGAGGCCGTGCCAATTGTGAAATGGGGCAGCAGAACGTTTCTCCAGTGAAGTGGAAATGCAGTGGAGCAGGATGGCAGAGAGAAGCAGGTCTCTTGCTAGTGCTCTTAAACTGAAGAAGAAACAAACGAAATTTTTTCCTACAACACACAAGGAAGGGGGCCTGGGTTTTAAGGTCAGCGTGGTCCTCGCACCCGTGGTCTCCGCGGGAGGCAGCTACACCTGACGTGAGCGGCCGCTGGGGAAGGAGGGTGAGGACCAGGCCTAAGGACCGGAGGTCAGCAGTGTGGAAACACCGCCGGGTTTAGAGGCGAGGAAGGGGCGCAGCAGCTGGGAGGAGCAGCGCGAGAGGGGCGCGCCCTGCGCAGGGGTCGGCGTGGGAAGGCAGCTGTCTCATTTCGTCCCTCCCCCGCCTCTGGGGACGGCTCTTGGCCAACCGTCCTGGCACTCCTAACAATTCATCCTGTTTTTAATAAAACCATTTCCAGAACCAAAAAGAGGGCGGTACCCAAAGGAATCTGAAAAATACCCCGCAGGGGCGGGGGAGCGGGGCGTGCCCCTGTTAGGAGGCTCCAGGGTGACGGAGAGCGCAGCGCGGACACACAACCAGGCCGGAGGCCGGAGCCGGAGCTAGCTCCCGCAGCTGCAGAGCCGCCTTCCCCCGCACGCCCCCGGCACGCCCCAACGCCTCGCGGCTCCAGGATCCAGAGCGGGGGCGGGGCCGGGGGCGGGGCGGGCGGGGGCGCGCGGCTGGAGTGGGCGGGAGGAGCAGGCTTTTCCATCCCCTGATTGGGTCTGGGCTGAACAGGAGGCGGTGTCTTGGGGAAGTTCTGCGGGCGGGTACTGGACGCCGCAGAAGGAGGGCGTGGTTTTGTGAAGTCAGTTCCGGTTGGTGTAAAACCCCCGGGGCGGCGGCGAACGGGCTTCAGATGCTTCTGGGTCGCGGTGGAAAAAGCGATAAGTCTGTGTGTGAGCTTGAGAGCCGTGCGCTAGAGCGACCCGGGAAGGGATGGCGGCCACCGGGACCGCGGCCGCCGCGGCCACGGGCCGGCTCCTCGTTCTGCTGCTGGTCGGGCTCACGGCGCCCGTCGCGGCACTGGCCGGCTATGTCGAGGTGGGGATCGGGCGAGCGCCGGAGCGCGGTCTCCTTCGCCGGCCGAGGGAGCGCGGCCTGAGGGCGGGCAGCGGGGTCCGCGGCGGGGCGGGCTAGGGGCGCAGCGCGGGGGGGTCCGGCGCTGCGGCGGGTCTGGCGCGCCCTCCCCCGCCCGCCCCCGCTTGGCGCAGTGCTTAGCGCTGGAGCTCGGGCTGCCTCCGCCGCCGCAGAGGCCAAATGAAAGGCGTCGGGGCTGCGGAGCGCAGGGGGCTGCGGGCCGCCCAGCCGCCCCAGCCCCCATCCCGCCCGCGGCGCCGCCGCCACATCCTCCGAGGACCCGAGGACCCCGCGCCGCCCGGGCGCCCGCCGTCTCTCCCCCGGGACAACGCGAGCCTCTGCCGTGCGCCTTGCGGCCCCGCCTGGGTCCGCAGCTCTGCTCCCTTTGGGGGCGGCCTCGCGCGGACCCCGCGCTCTCCTGCGGCGGCAGGGCCTCTGCTCCCGGGCTTCCCACCTGCGAGCGGCGGGCGCCGCCTTTGTTGGCCAGGTGGACTTGGCTGTGGGGATGCGGCTTCGCGGCTCCGGCCCTTGGCGAGTGGCGGCGATGCTGGCGAGCCCCGTGAGAGGGCTCCCGCGCCGGCTGCGGGGTGTCTGTGCTCCCTCTGCCGCTCGGGAGCCGGGTGCCACCGCTCTGGCATCGGCCTTGAACAGGAATTTTTAAATACAGCTGTTTGCCCGAGTCCAACAAAATAGGGAACACCCCTCTCTGGTGTTTGTGTTGCCCTTTTTGTGGGAGGTTTCAGCGAGTAGGGAAGGGACCCATGAATACCTAGTAATAACTCTTTTTGGTAAATTGTACTTTTTTGGTGTCAGAATTTCAGTAGTTCTGCCTGGAGGTAACCTTGTAAACATCTTTGTGCTGCGAGGTGGTCAAGTGGCCTGGCTGGCCGGGCGGTTGGCGGGAGTTTGGGCCGCGGGAAGACGCTGGGTGGCCCGGTCCGTGTGGATTCTGCAGTCGTGCCACCTTGGAGGAACCCTTCTGTCGCTGAGGAAGACGTGGAACTTTATTTTTACTTGGCTTCTCGAAATAGTGCCTGAACTGTTGGACTGGGATGCGTGTTTCTGGTGTGGTTTATTTCTTATCCCTCTTCGCTATTTTTAAAATCACGATTGGTTTCTGTGTGCTTAGCTAATTTCAGAGAGACCTGAAGACTGGATTTGATTAAATAGGCGTTAACTGAGAACTTTTCTAATAAAAACCTCAGGTTAGAATGTGTTCACTTCTACAACCTCCGATGGAACGTCTTAAAATCTTGGTATTCATCCTGCTTAAAGCTTTATGACTCTGTGAGGGGAAAAGGAGTTAAGCTTTAAACAAAACTAGTTAATATTTATCTACATAAGATTTTACGTTAAGATTATTTTAGCCTCCACACAATAGTTGGGCTTACATTTGTGATCCCCAGTATGATGGCACGTGAAAACGACTAGATGAGTAGGGTGGAAAGAAAAAAGGATTTTGTATGGAAGATGGGACTTCACTAGGGGGTCAAGTGTCAGAAACCGTTGTTCATATTTTCATCTCACTTCCCAGTGGTATGAGTAATTTCAGGCACTAGTGAATTCACAATAAAGGATTAGTCAGTTTTAAAGAATATAGTAACATTTGTGCAGAGGGAAAAAATGTCAGGACTTGTTGTGGATTAATTTTGATTGTTAGCCATAGCATTGTTCAGTTGAAAAGTGTAGCTAAACAGAAAGTAGGAATTAAACATTTACAAAAATTGGTTTTATGGTAACTTCTGTTTTTCGGAATTGTATTAATATTTTTTGCCCACACTTCCAAGATTATCTTTCAAGTAGCCTTTCCTTTTGTCAAGCTGGCATATTTATATCCATATAATTTGATTTTGTTTATTTGCTGTCAGGTAAAGGACTAAATCAGGATGTCTTTGGGAAGGCCCTTATTGAAATTAGCCAAAGGGATTCTGGCCAAATCCCTGATCAAGTTGCTTGGCACAGAATTATTGATTGGCAAATCTGTAGTGTTGCTTGGTGTTGACTGAATTAATCTCTTACACCTGTTTAAAAAGAACCCCCCTCTCCCCCGACCTCTGTGCTCAGGGTCACTTCCTCTCTTAAATCTGAGACAGGTTCTGTTGTGTGCGCGCTCCCATTTGGGAATCATAAGACCGTATTTGTGCTGAAACCCTGCACACTATACAGTGGATATTTAGGCTTCTGAGAACCAGAACTTGAGTTCATTCTGTCACATTTGAATGTAAGAGGGTCATTTGATTGCCAGTTTCCAGGAAACTCAAGGGATGACAACTGAGGCAGAGGAGAGAAAGCTTTGTGTTGGTATTTCTAAAAGGTGGTATGGGGATGTCTAATTGTACCTTGGAATGATACCTTGGTAATGCTTCTGATAGGGGAATATCAGTCATTATTTTATCATAACTATGTTTTAAAATCTTTTGATAAATATGATAAACTAAGTTTTATCTTTTGTAGAAAGAATTTGTTGTGTTACCATCTAAAGCTGGGTTGTCCCATAGCCATTTAAAAACTGATTCAGTGATTGGAAAATTTTTAACTATTCCGAACAACTTGGTTATGGCTATGGAATCTACTTTTTTAACTGTACATTTTATGAAATTAAATGTAGATAAAATATTTTCTATGAAAATTTAGCTTCTGAATTGAGATGTACCATAAGTGTAAAATACACACCAAATTTCAAAGATTCAGTTTGGAAAAAATAATGTAAAATATCCATTAATAGGTCGGGCGCGGTGGCTCACGCCTGTAAAAGAAAGAAGGAACTTATCTTTATTTTCCTTCACCTTAATTTAAAAATAGCTGATTATATTTTCAAAAATATGAAATTAAATGTAGATAAAATATTTTCTATGAAAATTTAGCTTCTGAATTGAGATGTACCATAAGTGTAAAATACACACCAGATTTTAAAGAGTTAGTATGAAAAAAATTTTAAATCTCAATTTTTGTATTGATTACATTGAACTGATAATACTTCAGACATTGGGCTAAATAAAATACATTAAAATTAATTTAGCCTGTTTCTTACAACACTAATGTGGCTACTAGAAAACTTAATACTACATGTGTGGCTCATGTTATATTTCTGTTGGGCAGTACTGATTTAAAGTCTTGCTAGTTGGTCCTGCTTGTGTTTTTATTGGCACAATTTTTCGATACGTTTCTATGTTTTTCTCAATAAAGTCTTGCTTGAAGTTGGTCCAGCATGATCTTAAGTATTAGGACAATTTTGGATATGTTGATTTTCTTTTTTGTTACTTTTTTCGATTAAAATTGTTTTACTTAGAAATAACTTCAAGCTTATAAAAATGCAAAAATTGTAGAAACAACTCTCATACCCTTTACCTTATTCACCAATGGTTAACATTTCCCCTACTCAGCATTTGCTTTATCATTCATTCTATTATCATTATTGTATTTTTTGCTGAACTATTTGAGAATAAGTTGCATACATCATCCCCTTTATCCCTGAGAACTTCAGTCTGTATTTTCTAAGAGCCAAGGACATTGTCTTACATAACCTTAGTGCGGTTATCAACCTAAGGAAATTTAACGTTGGTACAATACTTGGATCAAATCTACTGTTTATATTCCACTTTGTCAGTTGACCCAATAATTATGTTCTTTGTAGCATTTGGAAACCAGGTTATTTTTAAAGCTAAAGAGCTTTCGAATTCTTGACAGTAATGTGTGAAAGGTTATTTTTTCCAAATACAAAAATCAGATTTTTAACTTACTGTTTTGTCTTTGGAAAATCAAACATAACCTTTCAGGATTCTTGGATTATATTATTCACCCATACCAAGTTCTCAGGCTTTTGGATTTTCTTTTTAAATAACAGAAGAAAATTTATATAGGTAGTACACATTTGTTATAAAAATTTAAAATTACAGATAATAAGAAATGAAAAATAACCTGAAATCGTATCATCCAGGGAAACCTTACTATAAACATTGTGGTTGTATATACTTCTAGGTATATCATGTACATAAATTTTATTAAAATGGCAAATATCGCATATTGAAGCTAATACCTAATAATCATTATTTGAATTGTCTTAACCAACTGAAAGAAAATAATGTTTTGTGTGTGACAAAAAGTAGAGGTAAATCTTTTACAGTAATTGTATTTGCTATGGAGGGGCCAGTGAAAGAGAATTCTAAATTGCCTATAATTCAATTTTCATGGGTTGTTTTTTAGTGAGATAAACTAGATTACCATGAAGCTTAATTAAATTTAGTATATTGTACCTTGATTTATGGCTTAAGATAGAAAGTGGACCATGTAGGTGCATTCAGATAGAAATGGGTTCCAGTCCTTTGTGTCAATTACAATTACTTTTGCTAGGGGAATTTTTCTTATGTAAGCATCATGAAATCGTTTTTTAACGAAGTCTTTTTAAACATAACTATAATCTATTTCTAAAAGATGAAGATTGAAAAACTAGTTGACTTTTTGTTATTCATCCTACTAGCATTTATTAACCCCCATGATTCTGTGTTAGGTGCTAAACAGTGCAGTAGTAAAAACAAATGTGGGTAGAGCTTTTTACTCTGCAAAATGCACTTGCCTGTGATTTCTAGGCCCCACCCCCAGAGATTCTCATTCAGTACATATGGGACTCTCAGTCTCCAAAGCTCCCCAGGTGATTTTAATGGATAAGGAGAGACAAACAAAACAAACTCTTTTGGGTGCATTATCTACATAAGTCCCCACCAGTCTCATCCCCATCTAAAAAGGGAGCCAGTAGAGGCCAAAGGTGGAACATCACACTGCTTGGCCAGAGTGTGTATCATCTTTCCATCCCATTCTAAGTCTACTGCTCTTCCTCTCTGTCGGGGTGTTTCATAATGTGCCCCTTTTGGTTGCAGATTTCTTTTTACTCATGTCTACCTATCTTTCCCACTACCAAAAACCTGATGTGAATATTTTCCTTAAAAGGAAGTAATTTCAAACAAGTT